ACGTGAGCTAAACGTGGAGTCCGATGTATACGCCCCATCAAGAGGACCCAATATACCTTGTCAGGGATATAAAGGCATGATTGTTCGATGTATACACCCCATCGATATGACCTAATATACCTTGCCAGGGGTATAAAGGCATAAATGGCGTGATCATTAAAGCTGATGCCCAACAGAGGAGACTTGATAAACCCCGTGGGCACGTAGTTCTGGGACTATGAGGGTACGTTGAACCCTAGTCCAACTCGGTCTAAGCCTACTCCCAACTGGAATGTGTATGACACAACAAAACTGAAATACTAGATAACTCAATGTTCTAACATGCAAATATGAGAATGCAACATTAAATACTGACAATGAAACATTCTTAACTGGAGCATGTATACCTGTTTAAACTAACCTAGCAAGTGTAATTCATGAACTAAAAGAATCTACACAACTAGGATTATGGTGTCACTATTTGTATGGGGTGCATTGTGATCTATTCACCGATCATCGGAGTCTTCAATACATCTTCAGTCAGAAGGATCTGAACTTACGGTAGCATAGATGGCTTGAGTTGCTGAAGGACTATGATGTGACCATTCTATATCATCTGGGGAAGGCCAATGTTGTGGCCGATGCTTTGAATAGGAAGACTCCTAGCATGGGGAGTCTTGTAACACTTAGTATTGAGGAGAGACCATTGTCTAGAGATGTTCAGATGTTAGCTAACAGTCTTGTCCGATTGCAGATTTCAGAGGAGAGTGATAAGATGATTGCTTTTATTGAGGCTCGGTCTTCTTTAGTCGAGCAGATTCGTGAGCACCAATTTGATGATGAGAAGTTATGTATTATTCGAGACAAAGTGTTGAGAGGGGAAGCTAAGGAGGTTGTCCTTGATTCTGATGGGGTCTTGAGGATCGGAGGTAGGATTTGTGTGCCTAAGACGGGCAAGTTGATTAGATTGATTCTTGAGGAGGCTCATTGTTCTCGATATTCCATCTATCCGGGAGCGGCGAAAATTTATCATGATCTGAGTCAACATTACTAGTGGTGTGGGATGAAGAGGGATATTTCAGACTTTGTTTCTAGGTGTTTGACATGACAATAGGTCAAGTGTGAGCACCAGCGTCTCGGGGGTGTATCTCAGATGATTTATTCCTACTTGGAAGTGGGAACGGATCATTATGGACTTTGTTGTGGGTTTGCCTACCACAGTGGGTGGTTATGACTCCATTTGGGTTGTTGTTAACAGGCTCACCAAGTCTGCCCACTTCATTCTGGTTCGGGTGAAGTATACGGCGGAGAAGTTAGCCGAGTTATATATCAGTCAGATTGTGCGATTACATGAAGTTCCGATTTCTATTATGTCTGATCGAGGTTCATTGTTCACTTCCCATTTCTGAAAAGCATTACAACATGGTTTGGGTACTCAGTTAGATATGAGTACAACCTTTCACCCTCAGACAGATGGTCAGTCCGATCGGACGATTCAGGTGTTAGAGGACATGCTCCGAGCATGTGTGATCGATTTCGGTGCTAGATGGGATCGACATTTACCCTTAGCAGAGTTTGCCTACAATAACAGTTATCACTCTAGTATTCAGATGGCCCCATTTGAGGCGTTGTATGGCAGACGGTGTAGATCTCTAATCGGTTGGTTTGATTCGGCGGAGATGGACTCTTTGGATACAAACTTGCTTAGAAATGCTATTGAGCAAGTCCGTATGATTCAGTATAGACTGTTAACAACCCAGAGTCGACAGAAGAGTTATGTAGACCGGAGAGTTAGAGCCTTAGAGTTAATGGAGGGTGATCATGTTTGGCTTAAAGTGTCACCCATGAAGGGTGTGATGCGGTTCGGAAAGAAAGGCAAGCTTAGCCCTAGATTCATTGGACCTTTTGAGATTTTGAGCCGAGTGGGAGGTGGCTTATAAGTTGGCCTTGCCACCTAGTTTATCAGCAGTTCATCTTGTTTTCCATGTCTCTATGCTTCGGAAGTATATTCGGGATGAGTCTCATGTGCTTTCACTCGATTCAGTGGAGCTAGGCCCAGACTTGACATTCGAGGAAGAACCTATAGCTATATTGGATAGGCAGGTTCGAAAGCTTGGGACCAAAGAGATCGCTTCGGTGAAGGTGCAGTGGAAGCATCGTTTAGTTGGAGAGGCGACTTGGGAGACAGAGTCTGACATGCGTGCCAGATATCCTCAACTTTTCGAAACTTCAGGTACTTGCTTTTACTTTATGTTCGAGGACGAACATAATTTTTAGTGGTGGATAATGTAATGACCCGACCCCGAAAGGTCATTCTTAATAATTTTGAATAGTTATTTAACTATAATTAATTAATTTGCGGGTAATTTGTTTATTGTTAATAATAATGGGCCAAGTTTGAAATATTAAAATATGTTAGTAGAAATTATTACTTTTAATACATAATTAATTTAGAAAAGAAAATAAAGAGGAGCAGAAAGAAAACTGACCTGCGGCGTGCGTTGAACGAAGAACGAGAGTGCAGGTATACTCAATTCTGTGGATGAAAATTAATGTTTTTTAATTACATATTATTATATTAGTATTAGATTATTATACGTTGGTATGGAATGAATTGGATCTTCTGCAATATTGTTTGTTTTCAAATTGATGGGTAAGTATTATTTATGGGTTACTGTTGACAAGTTTTAGTGGAGGTAACCAATATCAAATATTATTATATAAGTATAATGATCAAGAACATCGGGCATTCCTATTCCGAAAAGGCTTGGGTTGTAGGCTGACTTGTCTTGGTGGAATAAGACGAGTGTCATCACATTCATTTTTAGGTTGTGACAAAGGCTCTGTCATTGTGGCTGTTAGAACATGCACAACAGAAGAATCATTGAAAGTCACGATCTTACATAATAATAACATGATAATATAATCTGGACGAATTAAGGAAACACTAACCTTTCGAAACTTTCACAAAACTCGTTCAAGAACATAAAATCCAAAACTATTGCCTTCTACTATTTTCCTAACTAACCTTTTTCAACCAAAACTTGTGTGGACAAGTATGTATTATTTTCCAGAAAAGTGATCCTCTCCTTTTATACCCATAGAATTTGGTAGGAGTGTACATGACCTGGTTGGTTCGAGTTTTTCAAATATCAAACCAAACCATTTGTGTAAAAATTTTAAATTTATATAACCAAATCAAACTAATAGAATTCGGATTTTTTTGAGTTTTTCAACTTCGGGTTGGTTCGGGTTTTTCAAATACCAAATCAAATCATTGTGTCGAATTTTTAAATTTATAAATCAAACCAAACTAATAAACCTCAGATTTTTTTAGATTTTTAGATTTTTTTCGGTAAAGTTTGCATACAAACATATAATTAACTTGTGCTCCAAATATTTCTTTAGTC